TGCCTGAGCCAGGCAGAGGCCAAGCCATGTTGAGAGGCCGAGAACCAGAGAGAGAGATGCTTACCAGCTTGGCTGAGATGAGGTGCCACAGACTAAAGAACTATGTCCTCAACATTTTGTGACCTGTTACTTCCCTGGTAAATGCCCACAGTCATGATTATTGTCTGTGAGTTCTGTATGGCCATTGAAATGGGGTTTTGAGCCCAGCAGAGAAGCAGTGTGCCATGGGACACTGTTAACCCTGTCTGTGTGGTTTGTTATTTAATGTCATAAAAATATTTCCTTCATGTCGTTTAGTGCAGTGACAGGATCTGATCAAATTAGATCAACCAAGCCTCTGTTTTTAGCAGAACTCAATGTGGGTTTCTTTTCATTACTCTTCTTGGGTTTGTTTGTTTTAATTGCTGTGTCTGAGGGTTGGCATCTGTCGTATTCAGGGTTCTCTAGAGCAGCAGGACCAGCCAAGGGACGGGCTACCATACACGTGGGTCTGGTAAGGCCAGTGTAATCAGGCAGCAGACTAGAGGTTCTAGCAGTTCTGTGCCCCAAAATTGGTAGCCTAGGCAGTGGGAGGAAGGCTCTGGCAGAATGAGTAGAATAGGTAGTGGAACAGGAAGGGGGGTATGTTTTGGCAAGATGTCTATTTATAATCTGGAGGCAGATTACTTCCTCTGCTAACCACCCATTTTGCTCTGGAAAACCTTGAACTGATTGGATGCTCACCCATGTTGAGTCACCATCAGGAGGCCTGGATGAGCATCGTGATACTGCCACTGACCCTCCATGGGAGCATGGGAAGGCCAGTCCTGTGCCACCCAGTGCCTCCCCTTTCTCCTCCCTAACAGTGTGGTGCTGTGCCATGTCTTCCTATGGCTCGTCTCTCCATGTCGCTCTATAACTCCCACCAAATGATGGGATAGGAATATGCGAATAGGGCATGTGTAACACTGAGAGAAGGTATTGATCCGTTGAGGTTACCATCTCTCTGCCTATAAGGATGGGCCATCTTTGAAGCAAGAGCAGAGAGCGAAATCCCAGGACTCTTGGAAGAAGAGCACTTTGAGGTACCTGTCTAAAGTGGCCGAGATGAGAGCAGAGGCACCAGGGACTGAGTCAGAGTAAACTAATTAGGGTGAGACCAGAGGATGAGATGAGGGGGAACTGTGAGACCACAGAGGGGCAGTGCCACGACTGTGAGGCTGAGCAGCAGGCAGGCCTCCTGGTCCACAGAGCCGAGAAGAGGTGCTGCTGTGGACCAAGGACTGTATCCTTACTGTTTACTGATCCTGACTTGTGGTAACCTACTAAAATCCCAATAACCCCCCATAATTTTGAGTGTTTCTATGAGTTCTGTGTGGCCACTGCAGCGGATTATCAAACCTTAGCATAGGCGTAGAATGCCGTGGCAGGACTGGCTGGTGTCAGGAAAGGTAAGGAAGGTTGGAGGTTGGAGGTTGGAGGCATGTGTGTCCACTGCATCGTGGCAATAGGGACGCCAGAGGTCATAGAGGGCCCTCTCCGTGCTGTTTATTGAAGACAGGCTTTGGAACTTTCCTCAGAGGGTTTTTTTTTGTCACCTAAGGTAACTGGAAACTCTTTAAGTGGCTGGCTTGCCTTAGGGGCTTGTTATATGATGTTGTTGAGTCTCTAGAAATCAGAGTAGATTTTAAAGTACTGGAGGTGAGTAAATCCCCCAAATGTCAGCACAATGGCGTGAGATGCTTGGAGAATCAGGAAAAAGATGCACTGCGGCGTGATCTTAAGGGATGGAGAGCTAGATGTTAGAAGGTGTTATAGACAGAAGGCAGAATGAGCAGAAAAGGTGGCTGCGGTGGTGGTGGCATTAGTTCTGGAGTGGGGCAGCAAGCACAGGTGTGACAGACCTCATCGTAGAGAGCAGTGAGCATCCGGTGGTGTTGGGCAAAAAGGGATAGACAAAGGTAGGGAATTGGGAATTGTTGGTGTAAAGTGCTGCCTTGTGTGCCCCACAAGGAAGCACTGCCTGGCCCTGCACTGTCCTCACAAGCATTACCCCCATGCTGGAGCCCTGTGTGGAGCCACTGTGTCAGTCCATCTCACTGATCCTCCATTTTACCAAGTGTGAAGTCCTTCTCCAGAGCTGATCCCTCTTGATGATAGGTTCACGAGTAGTAGGGCATTTAGGAAGGAGGACCAGGTGTGATAGGAAAGCGGGGAGTTTGGTGGTTGGCTGGAGATTCAGGTGAAAGTGTGGGTGTGGAGCACCTTGGAAGAGGGCTGGAGGTGCAGCGGACATGGGTGCGCTCCGTGCACCAAGTAGAAAGAGGGGCACACCAGCAAGACTGCTGCACAGTCTATGTTCCTGCCATCCTACCGGAAGCAGGGGAAATCCTTGTGACCTTCTGAATAATGCTACAGATACTTTTCTTTCTTTCTTTCTTTTTTTGGTCTATATACTTTAGCACTTTTGCAACCAAAGTTGAAGTTATTTGGTTGAGTATTAAAAACCCAGCGAATCAGGATTTGGGCAGACATCCGGGATGACCTATTTTCCTGCTCAGAATGGAAGACTCACTGACTGCCATTGAGTTGATACTGACTCATGGTGCTCTGCCCTGGGTTCCTGAGGCTGTAAATCTTTATAGGAGCAGATAACCTCATCTTTCTCCCAAGGAGTAGCTGGTGGGTTTGAGACACTGACACTGTGGCTAGCAATCTAACACTATTGACAGCACCACCTGGGCTGCTCAGAATGGAAGACATGCGTTCATATTACACAGCTGTCTACAACGGTTCCTTCTCAGAGACTTTGTGATGCCTGGAACTATATCACTATTTATTTATAGCACTGCTTAAAAATCATATCTATGACATCACTTGAATAAATTGGAAACCCATTTAGTTAATCACAACTGGCATGTGATTAAAGCTTTCAGCCATAATTGAGTGTGAGTTATGCTATTGTGTTGGTCCGGGTTGACTAGAGAAACAAATCCAGAGAGACTCATATGTGTGCGAGAGAGAGCTTTGTATCAAAGAGCAATTGTATATTGAGAAAACATCCTAGCCCAATCCAGATCAAGTCCATAAGTCTGATATTAGCCCATATGTCTGATACTAGTCCATAAATTCCTCTTTGATGTCAGATGCAGGAAGATCACAGGCCAGTGGGTAAAAAGTCTTGTGAATCCAATACTGGTGGGAGCATCTCAGCACTGACCTAGGTCTCCGCATGGCTCCTCCAGCTCTCAGTTTGGTTCCTCCATAGGAAGATGAAGCAGAGAGAGAGAGTGACTCAATTTCAGGGAGAAAGGGAGGGGGTTTTCAGAATCCTCCTGAGAAGGCCACGACCACAGGGAGGCATCATCAGGTTGTGCCCTGATTGACAGGCTAGACTCCACCCCTACACTTATTTATCAAGTTGACATGAAATTATATAACTACCACAGCTAGTTTATTACTGTCTTCAAATTCCCGCTTCTAATTGACCGCTTTTCAAACATACCTTGTTTTGATAGCTGTATGAGTGTGACTCCTACACATAATTAGGAGGGATGTGATGGCCTGGAAAATAAGCCCCCTTTCCAATTTTGTGCAAATCATATGCTAGCTTCCTTATTGAAAATCTGATCATGATATAGTAGAGGAGGAGGACTTAATTATGGGCAATTTTATGCTCCTTTTTTTTATATATAACAACAAAATACTATTTATGTAGAATCCTTTCCCTAGAGGTGAACATTTAAAAATAGGATCATTAAAAAGTAAGCATTGGTAGCACAAGTACTCTGATGGTCATGGGCAAAGGACAGCCCTCGGACACTGCTGCTCCAATTTGGAGAAGTTTGGCACTGCGCATACGACACACTTGCATCACAACTTGACACTGATGGCCTGGGAGAGATGAAAGCGTTTGCCCCGTAAAAACTGGCGCAGGTCTGTTCACAATAGCTGCACTCATCACTGCTGGAAAGTGGGAGCAGCCCAGTGTCTACCAACAAGTGAAAAGCTCTTGTCTGCTGTGAAGTGGATTGTGACTCAGGGGGGACCCTGTGGGGCAGAGTAGAGCGGTCCCGTAGGTTGTGGTCTGTAGAGCTGCTGGGTGGGCTTGCTCAACCAACCTTCCAGTTAGCAGCTGATCACTTAACTGCTGTGCCACCAGGCCCCCTTAATGAAGCCCAGCTCAGCCATAAAAAGGAACAAATTACTGGCATGTGTAACACTGAAGGAATCTCAAGCACCCTGTGGCCAGTAGTAGAAGCCAGTACTTCTTTCCCATTTAGGAGTCATTCATGTGCAATTCTAGAATAAACACTTGTCTATTGTGCAAAAATAATTATGTATATATGTACACACACATAAAGGTAAGTCCGAAAGTAGTGTTACTGAGGTTCCAGTTTATACATGCACAAGTTTCCTCCCAAAAAGACAGGTTGAAGCATTTGTCTGCAATCAGTGATTTGGCTACAGACAAGTTCTCTCAGCCATACGCTTGTCTAAGTCCGCATTAACATGCCTTCAAACAAACAAACAAACCAAAACATGTCTAACAGAAACACTGGCTTCTGAGGGGATCTGCTCCACCAGTTAATTCCATGCTCAAAAGGCGATGGCGACTTTCTTTAATCTCGTGGGGATGGTGACCTTGATAGATTTTCTCAGGATGATGATGGTGGCTTATTAGGAAGTGGTTTTGAGAAAATGGGAAGCTGCATTGGTGAGGAACGCTGTGCCTGGAGATGTTCCCTCACAGCCATGCCACTGTGGTGCCCTACAGGGATATCCTGGAGGCCCCTTCAGCATTCTCTTTGTTCCCAAAGGCAAGAACATCTCAACGGAGCACAATTTGAGTTCCTGCTGTATCTGATAAAGTAGTCAGCAGCTAGGAAAATTTCTTATGGGAAAACCGCTTTATATTCCAGGGAACCTGTTAAAAATCCTGCTGTTGATGATCAGACGCTAGAGAATGATGACAGGTGGCAAACATGCACTCTCCTGACAATGAACTTTGTTCTCTGTAGGTTGGGAACCCACGTGTTGAACTTACTCTCTCAGAGCTCCAAGATATGGCAGCTAGGCAGCAGCAGCAGATTGAAAACCAGCAGCAAATGTTGGTTGCCAAGGTGAGTTGTAAAAGCAAAGGTGGAGAAGCAATGTTTCAACAGTCTGTTCAATGGTCATGATTTCCGACTACAGTGATTACAACCCTGATGGCACGAGGAAGACAAGGCTGAGCCATGGCGTGCTCAGCACAGTGCCTCCCTCTCTCCCGTCACGCCTGTAACAAGTCAAACGCCCGTGATAGGAGAGTGCCTGGTCCTGCACCCAGACACACCCCCAGAACAGGGGCCAGCCGGCCTCGGCCAAAGTATAGCCACCATTTGGAAAAAAGGAAGCTTCCTTCTCTGCTGAGAAACACTCAGTGTCTCCCAGGAGCCTTCCTGGCTAGCTCCTTACCTTCTGGCCAAGCAACTCGATTCCTGTACCAGACGAGACCAGTCTCCTTGAGGAGAAAACAGGAGACAGCTGGCCATGGGACCCCCCCCTTTGTGCCTCTTGCCAAGGCCCCCAAGGCTTGTTACTGCAGTCTTACCAAGTTCTTTCCTCGGAGAGCTGTTCCCAGTGGCCCAAGTTTCCTCCAAATGACCATAGCTTACCACCCTCTCCACTTTCATGTGAACTTGGACTTGTTTTTAAACATTGGTCTTGCAAAGTGATTGCAGTTATAAGAATGAAAAACTTAAAAAGTTAGGTTGAAATACACTAAGATGAAATATAGATAGTATGAGAGAACTGAAATTTTCTAATTTTACTTTTCACTTCCTTTCCAAATATTAGTTTAATGGTAATGCTATTAAAAATAACTTCTTGTATATTTCTAACAGTGTAAATCACAAGTCAAAGCTAAACTTACATATTTAAGCACATATTTTCCTTACCTTCACATGTAGTTTATAAAATTCCTGCATCACATTGTAACCTCTCCTTATTTGGGTACATTTATTCATACACATGGGACCATGAATATTTAAGGTTCACTAATACCCAGAAGGTAGTTTTTCACATCAATAGGGACAAAATATTGAAGAGTATTGCTTATAGTTTAGGATTATCCTCTTATCTTACTCTCAAATGTTTCGCTCTTTTCTAAAGATGCGAACAAAGAAAGCAAACATTCTTGGTTCCTCATTGCTGTCCGGAACTGGGAGTTTCTCTCTTAACAGACTGCTTATCTCCCCCCATGAAAGCCTTGGCTGGCCAGGGCCATTTCCTCTGGGAAGTGAAATAATGGGCTTGCTAAGCCACCATGTCACAGCAGGAAGCCTGCATCTGCAAGCAGGAAACTAGCAACTAGCCTGTGGGGACTCACCCGCCCGCCTGCCTGCCTGCCGAGCTGGGAGACAGTCCCGTGAGCAGGCTGAGCCTCATTGCCCGACACTCCTGTGTACCACGGCACGCACCATCAGTGTGCTGAGTCAGACCCCTGTAAGGATCCCGATTCCTGCCATCTCCCACAGGGGTGGCCAGTCCCTTCCCGTGGGTGGTCTGAGGTGTACAGGATGCATCCGGCCTCCTCCATGGAGTGACTGAATGTAGGCAGGAGTGTGGGGTCCACCTAGAGTTTGAGTGCGCACACAGGACACTACATTTCCTTTTCAAACGAAACTCTTCCCCTCGTGTTAGGAACAGCGCTTACATTTTCTCAAGCAACAGGAGCGCCGCCAGCAGCAGTCTGTCTCTGAAAATGAAAAGCTTCAGAAATTGAAAGAACGCGTGGAAGCCCAGGAGAACAAGCTGAAGAGGATCCGAGCCATGAGGGGACAAGTGGACTACAGCAAAATCATGAACGGCAACCTGTGTACGTGCCAACTCCAGCACACTGCCCGGCCCTCAGCAACTGTGTGAGGCCACTTCTTGATCATGGGTCCCAGAGGCACTGCCCCTCCTTGTCAGAAGTATGCTGGCTCCAGGACATACTTGCTAGAGAAAGACCCCAGTGTCCCCTTGAAAAGCGCAGCCCTTTGGTTGGCGAGCGGTGTGTCAGGTCTCAGGGCTCGTGTGCTATCTGTATAGTAAAGACTTGCTTTCGGGGTGGCCTCTGTGACTTCCCACCCCATTTGAGTCAGTGGGTCCTGCTCTCACGGCATGGTAGAGCTGGCAGCACACAGATGCCCAGGTTTGCCCTGCTGAAAGATGTCCTGCCATCAACTCTAATATGGCTGCTGGGTGGTGTGATTTGGCACCGGCTGCTGTCAGAGTCATGTGTGTCCCCTAAAGTAGGCAGATGTCAGCAAGTGATGGTTTTAAAGATGAACACTTGCTGTACCCACCCCTACTCCCCTCCCCACCCCTAGGCCACCCCGCCACAGAGCTCATGTCGTTCTCTTCCTATTGTGTTGAAATGCGCTTTCTTTTTTTTTTAATGTCTCTGGTTGGGAATTGTAGCTGCCGAAATAGAGAGGTTTAGTGCCATGTTCCAGGAGAAGAAGCAGGAAGTACAAACTGCAATCCTGAGAGTTGATCAGCTGAGCCAGCAATTGGAGGATTTAAAGAAAGGGAAACTGAATGGATTCCAGTCCTGCAACAGCAAGCTGACGGGGCCAGCAGCGATGGAGCTGAAGAGACTATGCCAGGAGCTGCAGGTAGTTCCTGGGCTGGGTCTGTAGAGAAGCACCTCAAACTAACCCTCACTGGCTTCCCCTGGTCTGTGGGGGAGCACCTCACACCAGCCCTTTCTTTTTAGCATCTTTCCATGAAGGCAGGAAGCCTTAGGCATTCAAAACAGATGAACAGATTCTACTTTAAGGGAAGCCACAGGATGTATTCAGTACAGAATCCTTAACCACTTAAGGAGAGGTTACTCACGTACCTCAGTTTGCTCACTTAACACCTGCCACTCACAGCTGTACGGCTGCCACCCAGTCAGGCTTAGGCCATTTCATCACCCCCAGAAGAAACCCCACTCCCCATGCCTGTTATCCCTCCAGCCCCAGGTAGCCTAACCTGCCTCAGTCTCTTGGAGACTGCTCTCTGAAATTCTGGGATTTCATCATGTGGATACTAGTGACTGGCTTCTAATGCTTTCAGTGCAGCAGTTCAACCACAACCCAGTGAACTGGAAAGGAGGGAGCTCTGGGTCTAGAAGGCCGCGATGGGAGCTGTGCTGATGAGGTGCCTCTTGAGCCCCCAGCTGTCCACTGAAGATGGCTGCTGCTCACAGTTGTTGGGTCGAGGGTGTTCAGGCAACCTTGTAATTCCGTAAGAAAAGGTGCATGTGGTCCTTGTGTGAGGCCAGGTGTGTTCTCCAGGGGCAGCCTCACCTGAGTGTAGTGATGTGCAAGATAGTAGGAGTGTAGAATTGCTCCACACGAGAAGACACTGAGAATGCAGCGGATTGCCTGCTCCCCCATGGTGGCTTCAGGCGCTCTGTGTAGGGTGTGGGGCCTCTCTGGGAAGGTCCCTGAGGCTGCCAGGGGTGAGTTCAGGGTCCGTGTTGCCACAGCCCAGAGCTGCGCTTTGCCCATCGGCATCGGCCACACATGCACATGGACATTGAGCTTTCTGTGTTCAGTAAGAACACATGTGAGCTGTATCCATGCTGTCCAATAAAGTCCTGCACACTCTGCAGTAGAAGTGCATGCTGGTGACGAGGAGCTGGCCTTTGGTGTATGCTGGTCTTGAAAATGAATCTGCTTTGCAGATTCGTAACCAGCTAAACCAGGAGCAGAATTCAAAACTCCAGCAGCAGAAGGAGCTTCTAAACCAGCGCAACATGGAAGTGGCACTGATGGACAAGCGCATCAGCGAGCTGCGGGAGCGCCTCTACGGGAAGAAGATTCAGGCATGTCACGGGGGCCAGGGCCGCCAGGTCTGTGACCACAAGCCCAGCTGAGTTCAAGCTTTCCCTGTGGAACACTCCCTGACACTAGGACCTAGGTTCAGCCTACCTCTGCCCCTTCTGGCTGAGCCACGGCAGACAAACTCTGTGACCTGCGAGCCCCAGGTCCTTGTCCCTCGGGTGTCACACCCCTCAGGCATCTGCATGAGGATCTTCTGAGACTGTGAGACCCAGGCAAGGGGCTATGCAAGAGCTTAGTGGTTTGTCAGTTGCCTCTGGTTCGTAATTTGAATCTCTAAGATATTACATGCTCCCTGACAAAAAAAAAAAAAACACCAGAGGGGACCAAAATATGTGAAGGAAAACTTGACAGTCTTGGCTCACCTGTCCACCCAGAGGACTCTTTGAGTCCACTCAGACCTGTGAGTCCCTTCCCACCAGGGCATGGGGAGCTGCTCATGGCAAAGCAGCTGGTGGGAAGTGGCCTCAGCAGGCAGGTTCTCAGTGGGCAGACTGGTTTAACTGTGGAGTCTCTGGGATGTTGACTTTCCTTGGAGGGGCGCCGTACGCACACGCATGTCAGTGGTGCCCAGGAAGCATGAGCCTGTCGCTTTCATGGTTCTCGGCGTTGGCAAGAGGCTAAGTCTCCTTTCTGCTCTCTGTGTAGCTAAGCCGGATGAATGGCACATCCTCCCCGCAGTCCTCCCTGAGCACATCCGGCCGAGTTGCTGCAGTGGGGCCTTACATCCAGGTGCCCAGCGCTGTCAGCTACCCTGGGCCAGGGGACCCAGTTAAGCCCCAGTCTCTGGCGCTCGCCCCCAGTGCTGCGCACGGACGATCCAAATCTGGTGAGTGGTGCTGCTCTCCCTGTGCACCTGACATGGTCCTAGAGAGAGGGTGTGGTCCAAACCACCCCCAACACCCTGCCCTGGGGGACACTCTGCCAGGCCCAGCCGGGCCTCCAGGCTGGGTGGGGGGCTGGTCCCGCTGCTCTGATACTAGGAGCCTGATGGCCATGACCTCTACCAGCCCTTCTGTGTCACTCACTGGGCAGCAATGTGGCCCTCCCTGCCTCGCCCACCACCTGTATCTCCCTCACCTGGATGGTGTGGTCCCCATGGGGGGTCTGTTCAACTATTCTGTGCCCCTGGGGCTGGCCGTCTCAGTAATCCAGTGCTTGGCAGAGCCCATTTGCTATCGAGAGACATGCCTTCATGGGTGGACACAGGCTGGCACAGGGAGCACCTTTGGGACTGGTGTGGTTTGGGCGAGTGGTCAGCTTCCTCTTCTCTCGTCTGGCCTCAGTCTCAGGTTCTTCTGAGAGCAGCAGGTGCAGGAGGCCCAGCCAGATTGCTTTCCCACCTGCTCCCAGCAGCCACTGGGGCTTTGGTGAGCTGAGCACTGGCTGCAGCTCCTTCTGCTATCCTGGGGGCAGGCTGTCAGCACAGCCAGCTCAGCCCTGGGGCACCCAGGCTAGGGCTCCCCATTGGTCACTTGCTCCCTGGTGCACACAGCAAGGAAGGTGAAAGCCTGCGGTAGCCCTGGGCCCTCCCCCAAACCAGAAGAGGGACCAGGCCCTGGGGCAGCTGCGATGTGGGTCTCGGTGCTCATTGTTGGTGGCTCTGGCCCTTGTGTCACATAGATGGTCACAGCAAGCACAGAGGGGCTGGGGCGTGGACAGTGTCCAATCTGGATGTCGGGCTTGCCCAGGGCTCCTCCCAGTGCCACACAGACCCGTCTGTCAACTGTACAACAGCTACAGGCTAGGGGGCGGTCCTGCACCTCTTGCGTGTGCTCAATCAACCAGCAATCTGGGACACTAAATCAGCAGTCAATTTCTTTTTTCCAAACTGACCAAGGTCTGCTCATGGCCCCTAAATGTAACCAAGGTACCATGGAGGTGGCGCCTGTCCCTCCCCCAGCCCCGGGCCCCTGGGGAAAAGCTGGAGTGCCCATGACTGTGCTGGACAGAAGGAAGGTAGGCTTCTTGGGCTGACAGTGAGGCCTCCTGGGTCACTTCCAACTTGAAAGAACTGTCCCTTATTGGTAGTCATGGTTCTTCCCCGCCCCTCTCGTTCTGGGAGTGAGGGGCACACACTGTGAGAGCCTTGTACCAAAGCATCTGGACAGCTGCAAGGCCCCAGAGGGACATTCTCCTCCTCAGCTCCTACCGGCTGGGGGCACAGATCAGTCCTTTGCCCCCGGTGGAGGGTAACATTCCAGGACATTTAACGCAGCCCTCTCTGGCCATGTGCCTCTTTGCCCTGGAGGGAGCTGGTAGGCCATGCGGAATGGGACAGCTGGGACTGGACTACGGAGGCCTCACCAAGGCCCTATGAGGCTCAACCTGTCCTGTGGTGACCAGTCACAGTGCTAGCTCAGGCTCATCATCCACACACAACACCCCCAAGCATGTTCTCAATGTGCACCCCGCCTGGGTGCTGGCTCTGCCTCATGCCCTGTTCTGTGGATGACTGGTGGGATGAGGTAGGAAGGAAGAGCACTCCCGTGATCACTCTTCATGAGCCCTTCCTCTGCCTCCTCCCAGACCCCTGTTGACAGACTAGCATGCTGGCCACGAGGCCCCGGCTCGGCTCCCAGGGCTTACAAGGTTGTAGGTGTCATGACATCCTGCCGTCACTGTCCGTGACCCAGGGTACATGCAGCTCACCTTCAGTTTGGAAACCACTCTGTGAGATCCTGTTTGTTGCTTCCCCGAAGCCTTGGGGTTCGTGGCGGGCTTTCTAATCATGGCAGCCAGTGGGAACCCTCTGCAGAGAGGACTGGCCCTGCTATGGGGAGAACGGCCTCAGAGAGAGCTCAAGCCGATGGCCCTGGGCAGACCTGCTCATGTGCCCGACTGTGGCATTAGCGGCAGCCTGGTGCTGACAGGACAGGCTTGCCTGATGGGAGTGGTGCTTCCCTGCAGCCCAGCCTGCCCCTCAGCCTGCCCCTGTTGGGCAGCCTGTCCCTGGCACACACAGGTTCAGTCACGGAGCCTGGAGGTTCACTGAACACTGATTGCTTGCGGTCTGGTAGCATCTGGCTACTGACCAAGTCCTGAGTCTGCAGCTGGCTGCTGGTGGGGACCGTCACCAGTCAGGAGCCATTACCGCCTTGTCTCTGACGGAGGGTGGGGGGGTCCTGATTCCACTCATGTGCAGAAAACTACTGAACTCTGTGTTCTCTCCAAGCTAATGATGGGAATTGGCCAGCGTTAAAACCAACTCCCAGTGCTCCGGGGGGCAGCGCCGACTGGAAGGACATGAGTGGGGAGGGGCCTTTGAAGCCGGGCACCATCTCCAGTCAGCCTCTGCCTTTGGGGGCCACCGAGAAGCTGGTAAGCCACTTGTCTGTCTCACAGACGAAAGCCAGCTCTGGGTTGCTGCTGTGCTGCCTTGAGTCTGAGCTGGGGGTGGGGGCATCCCTTGGCATGTGAGCCCTGGGTAGACCCACATGACACCAAGCCCAGGGAGGAGCTACTGGGCCTCATAGGTAGAGCAGTGAGCGCAGAGGCACTGTGGCTACCTGGTGGCTTACAGGCCCACCTGTGGCCCAAGGCAGGCGGGCATGTACTTACCTTTTCAGAGGCTGACCTTTCTTCTTGCCATCCAAATGTAGGGCCTTGAGGTCGGTAAAGTGCCACCACCCATCCCGGGGACAGGCAAGCCGCTGCCTCCAAGCTACGGGACATACCCGAGCCCTGCGCCCATGGTCCCAGGCTCAACCAGCTCCCTGGAAAGGAGGAAGGAGAGCAGCCTGCCGAGGCCCGGCCCTGGCCTGCCAAGTCGGCCAAAACCCGCCCCCCTGCCACCAGCTGCCAGTGCCCACCAACCAGGGACCTCACAGCAGATCCAGCAGAGGATCTCCGTACCCCCAAGCCCCACATACCCACCGGCCGGGCCACCAGCCTTCTCAGCTGGAGACAGCAGGCCCGAGCTTCCCCTGACTGTGGCTATCAGGCCCTTCCTGGCTGACAAGGGCTCGAGGCCACAGTCACCCCGGAAGGGCCCCCAGACAGTGAACTCCAGCTCCATCTACTCCATGTACCTGCAGCAGGCCGCCCCCCCAAAGAGCTACCAGCAGGCTGCACACAGCAAGTCCGTGAAAGCAGGTGCGTGGCCCGAGTACTGCTGCAGGGAGCGTGGGCGCACACCCTCCTTATCACAGGCTGTCGTATAGCCAGGCCAGAGCCCTGTGACAGCTGGGTGCAAATGGATCATGGCTGTGAGTCCTGTGTGCTTCCACCCTGAGAATCCCAGCCGCTCCCTCCTGCCCCTGGCTGTGCCAGCAGACACGGGAGTGGCACCCATGCAGGGGTGGCCAGGGATAGAGGGGACTTTGCTCCTTTTGGATCCCGCTGCAGAGGCAGCGGAGGGCACAGCCAGCCCCGCACACAGTGGGGCCTCTTGGCTGCAGATCTGGATCCGTGGTTACACTCTCCCTCTTGCAGGAGCAGTGTCAGCTGTGGGATCCCCCTTCCCTGTGTCACTGGGTACCTGAGAGGGGCGGACCCGAGCCCGATGTATGTCTTCCCTGGGCTGGTGTGGAACAGGGGTCACGACAGTCTCCTGGGGGAAAGCGCTGCTCTGGAGGCCAGCAGTGAGCAGGGGTCTGAGGGGATACCTGCTCAGGAGAGGCGTGGCTCAGCATAGCCTCCCTCACGTTTACCACAGAGGAGCAGGTCCTGGGAGTGTGGGCTGTGAACGTTGGTGCCTCCCTGAACCACCCTCCTTGTGCCCTGTGTGTCCCCCACCAGTGTACGGCAAACCCGTCCTGCCCTCGTCGGGCTCCACGGCTCCATCCCCACTCCCCTTCCTCCACGGGCAGCTGTCGGCTGCAGCACCGCCCTCCGAGTGCACTGAGAAGGAGCTGGAGCCCGAGAGCCCGGCGCCGCCGTCTGGCAACAGCAGCGTGGAGAACCTGCCTCGGCCACTCAGCCCCACCAAGCTCACACCCATTGTGCACTCGCCGCTGCGCTACCAGAGTGACGCAGACCTGGAAGCCCTGCGTAGGAAGCTGGCCAACGCACCACGCCCCCTGAAGAAGCGCGGCTCCATCACGGAGCCCGAGGGCCCTGGTGGACCCAACATCCAAAAGCTGCTGTACCAGCGCTTCAATACGCTGGCTGGCGGCATGGAGGGTACTCCCTTCTACCAGCCCAGCGCTCCACAGGACTTCATGGGCACCTTGGCTGACGTGGACAACGGGAACGCCAACACCAACGGAAACCTAGGCGAGCCCGCCCCACCCACAGCCCCGTTGCCTCCCGTGGAGCCAGCCCCACCTCCCTCTGACGCCAACCACAACCAGCTGCCCTCCCCCGATCCAGAGCTGCTCATCTGCCTCCAGACCACCCCCCTCCCCTCAGAGCCCACGGAGGACAACAACAACAATGTGGCCACCGTCCCGCCCACCGAGCACCTCCCAAGCCCTGTGACTGAGGAACCTTCTCCAGGGGACGAACCTGCCCCCCCACCACCACTGCCCCCCACCACCCCACCACCTGCAGTCTCCACGGTGGGTGTCTCCTCCACCCCTCAGTCAGCCAGGGCTAACTGCGTGTATCTCCCAGGGCTCCACCCAGAGTACTAGGAGCCTAGCAGAGCTGCCCTCTGCCTGGGGCCACTTGGGCCACACACTGCAGGGGGAGGGGGCTGCTGTGGGGGCCAGGGCAGCTTTTCTGAGGAGAGGGGGCTTGGCCGTAAGCTGCAGAGCAGACTGGGAAAGGAAGACCCTTCAGAAAAAGTAGGAAGTAGAGGGTCATGACAGGGCTGGAAGGTCGACATGGGTGAAGGGAGGTGACTGGGGTCCTTAGCCAGGTGCTGCCGTGGCATTCAGGAGGCAGTCAGATCCCAGGAGACACCCCACCCTGCCCTCCTGGGACTGGATTCCGTGAAGCTCAGAAGTCAGGGCCACTCTGCCTCCCATGTATCTCCAAGGGGTGGCAGGTACCCCGGGCACCGCTTCCCACCCAGCACCTCCCCGTGGGCTCAGTCTGGGGCTCACTCCCCCAGGTGGCTACTGTCTGGGGAGCCCTGGCCAGGCGGGATTTCCTGCTCTCCCTTCCCTTCCTGGGGGACCAGCACCCTCTAGGCTTTCTTCAGCGGCTTGACAGCCATTGTCTCCTCGGCAGGGCAAACGCACCAACCTGAAGAAGCCCAACTCGACGCGGACTGGGCATGGCCTGCGCGTCAGGTTCAGCCCCCTGGCATTGCTCCTGGACGCGTCTCTGGAGGGAGAGTTCGACCTGGTACAGCGGGTCATCTACGAAGTGAGCCGTGGCTGGGAGGGGAGGGCAGGGGAGGGAGGTGTTGGGCTGGGAGGGGAGCTCACTGGCCCCTTGTGCCCCAGGTGGAAGACCCCAGCAAGCCTAATGACGAAGGAATCACCCCCCTGCACAACGCCGTCTGTGCTGGCCACCACCACATCGTCAAGTTCCTGCTGGACTTTGGGGTCAATGTGAATGCCGCCGACAGTGACGGCTGGTGAGATCTGGCCCAGGAGTGGGCTTGCAGGGGAGGACCGTTAGCAGGGGAAGCATAGAATAGACTGGTCCTGGTCAGCGGTTCTGCCCGCTCCTGCTGTCCTCTCCTGAGAGCTGTGTGGACTCCTCCTTCCTGCTGGTGGTGCACGCTGCTCACCTTCCCCACAGCAGCCGTCCCCTCACTGGCCCCGGTGTTGGCATCTCTGCTGTCACCAGTCAGGGTCACAGCTCAGCCACCACCATGCGGAGCCCACGGGGTCTTAGGCATTTGGGATTTCCGGCTTCTATTATGCCCCCGTCCCCATTTAGAAACAACATCTTTGTGTGTTCCAGAGAGCTCAGGGGCAGGACTCCCTCCCTGAGAGCAGAGTACCCCAAACGGGGCCCCTGTGAGTGAGCTCTCCCCACAGGGGCATTGGTCTATAAGCAGCCGAGGCCAACCTGTGGCCCTGCAGGGCTGGATGGCATTTTGACCTCTTGACCTGTCTGGCCCAGGACCCCACTGCACTGTGCTGCATCCTGCAACAGCGTTCACCTCTGCAAACAGCTGGTGGAGAGCGGTGCCGCCATCTTCGCCTCAACCATCAGTGACATCGAGACTGCCGCGGACAAGTGCGAGGAGATGGAGGAAGGCTACGTCCAGTGCTCCCAGTTCCTATATGGTACATGTGCGCGCCAGCACTGCGTACCCCTCCACCAGGCCCAGGTCCCGGGTCTGCCCGACTGCTCTATGGCTAGCAGGGTCAGGTGTGGACGGAAGTAGTGCCCAGGGCCAGGCCTGGCAGCCCAGCCACTCTTCTGGGCGCTGGCCCAGGGCTCTGTCACTTGTCCTGCTTGACAAGTGACACTGGTGCCTGCAGTCCAGTTCCCCTCCAGCTGGAGTCTCCCTGGACTGAGGGCCACAGTCAGCACTCACGCAGGACTGATTTGATCCCCCGGTTCAGCCTGGAACAAATGAGGGAATCACACCTCAGCCCCACCCCAAGCCTACCCCACTTTCTTAGCGTGGCAGTCCAGGCATTCGTGCCTAGGCCAGTGCTGGGGAGGGGGAGGTGAGGGGGGACAGCCGTAGCCGGTAGGTGGAGGCCCTCCCCTCTCCTCCGTGTGCTCCTGGCCACCTGA